TCGTCCCAACCACCACGTAGAGGTGTATCCCGTCGGTTGGGAAGGTATAAATATGTCGTGGTTTTCGGCGCTGAAGCTACAGAAATTATACGACCTTATCTAAAAAAAAAAAAAAAAGTGCACCGAAAGCACCTCATATTTATATCCCAACCAATTTCTTCTGTATCTCCCGTACAGAAGCTGGTTGTTCTTCCTCGAAGTATAGTTGTTTTTAGATAAATCTTCTTCGAAGCTTTTTTGCTATAGTTGCTTACGAACACCTCTACTTCGCAGTTTTTCAACTGTTTTTAAGTTTGGGGCACACCATAACGTTGTGCACGATAATTGTTTTATTGGTGACACTTAGGAGAATATTCATTTGATTGGTTAATTTTAATTTTATAGTCTACACGTGACTGCCGTATTAAAAATTCTTCGTATAAAATTTATGACGATCTATGGGTTTTGTGAAAAAAGACAATTTCACTTCTAAGCTAACATTTATATCTTACAATATAACTAGCATTCTTTATTATAATCAAAAATTTCATATTTTTATACTATATATATGTATATATTTTTTCTTATTTTGGGAATGGCGTTTTGAGGCTACGTACGTATCGACGAAATCAAACTCGAAATTTGGTTGGCTGGCATTAATTTTATTATTATCTATGTAAACTCAATGCTAAGATTCTTTTACTAATTTAATTATTAATTTTATTGAATTGCCATAATCCATTTAAAGATCTAAACTGAATTCGCTTTCAAGACACGTCCGAACCCAATCATTGCTTAGAGGTCTTTTTTATATATTTTAATATAGTCTGCTGATAATGGCTAAATGGTATTTAAATTTCGTTTAGAAAATATAAAGAGGCTAATTTTTATTTTCTAACTAAATATTATATTAAGGATTGATTATAAAATATTGATCACAATTCCGAGATAAAATGCGATTTTGATTTTGAATATATAAACTAGTTTCTGATATGCATAGATATTTTTAGTTCCGTTAAAATTTGATTATCTTCTCGCCATTTTTTAAAAACTTCAGAGTTCTTCTGCTGACCGTTTTTCTGGATCTTTATTCCAACATTGTTCACATAACTATCGATGGTGGAGAAACTAAATAATGCTGGTGAAACTAGTGATTATCTTAATCTGATTGGCTGTTATATTAAAATTTCACCAGTTTCACCAGTTTCACCGCCATTCGCCAAGAGTTTCACCAGTTTCACCAGCATCTATACACATAACATTGTGAAGCTTCGTTGTTAATGGGCGGTCAAAAATCATTACATATTATTTTAATTTGATATTCATTTGACTTGTACTTTCCACATGATTCATGCTGAAATACGTAGTAGTTATTGTCTGCTTCGCACTAAATAATTATATATTACACAAAACAAAATCCTTATTTGCAGCTATCACGTATAATATACTTATCATTTAGCTTGTAACACTAGTACAGAATACACATTGTGTTCGTTAATATTTCTATAAATTACTTTTGTTCATTAACAAAAGATCTGAATTGAATTTTAACCTACAGCAATGGGAGATTTAGAATTAGTAACTTCGTATAATGATATTGTTTTACCAACTGCATGGGATATTGAAGATAAATCGCCATTTATTGACATAGATTCAAGTGGACTTAAAGTGAAATATAAAGGTAATATAAAAATGAGAAATCTCGCAGAATCATATTTAAGATGTTACTGTAATCATCAGCATTTAAAAGAATATCATCATAGCTATTTAATTATTAAAACCCTTTTAATTAAAGATCCTGATGACTTTAAAGCTGTTATTGTTCGAGCAAATCATCCGATCCCTTCAGAGTGTGGGATGTTTTACTTTGAAATCAAAATTATAAACAAAGGAAAAAATGGGTAATATTAATAATTATTTTGTATCATAAACATCACCTTTGTTCTGGTGATTTTTTTATAATCTTTAATTATATTTTCTTAATAGAATGATTGGAATTGGATATTGTACAAAGCAAAGCGATAAAAAAATAGACGATTCAAATTATATAAATAATATGCTCATGCCTGGTAATAGCAAATTTTTATTTTATTTTCTTATTATTATAGATTAACGTCTATATCATATCTTTTAGGACAGGAAAACAAGGAAAATGAATTATGGGGGTGTGGTTACCATGGTGACGAAGGATATTCTTTTTGTTCAGGAAGTGGTGGGCCATATTTACCACGTACAGCTGGATATACTACTGGTGATATCATTGGATGCTATCTAAATTTTAGAAATAAGATAGTATTTTATACTAAAAATAGAATTAACTTAGGTATCCAACATTTAGAATCAAAAGTTATATTTTTTTACAACGAAGAGACAGAAATTTGATAATTATAAAATATTTTAAGGAATTGCGTGCTATATAAATAGCAATTTCAAAGGCATTCTATATCCTTGTGTTGGATTTAGATCGCAAGGCGGATCAGTAGAAGTGAACTTCGACAACAAAAAATTTAAATATTCTGGTAAATTTTATTCAATGAGTTTAATCATTTTTGCTTATTTAAAATGTAACATTGTTTATATATATATATATATTTCAATTTACAGCAATGACTAATGAAAACATTAGCATAAAACCAAATAATAATGCATTAGTATTGGAATATCAAGAAAAAGTTTATTTTATTATAGGTGGATATGAAAATATGCTTGTTAATTTAGCCAATGAATTAACAAAATCACTAGAAAAAAATAAGCCAGTTAATGTATTTGAATTGACTTACAGAGGAAAAATATATTTTATTATGGGAGAATATGATAAGGCATTGGAAGATTTAACTAGATTGCTAAAAATCATGCCAAATAATACAATAGCGTTAAAATATCGAGGAGAAATTAATTATATGATGAAACGGTATAATGAGTCAATCGCTGACTTGGAAAAATTATTAAGAATTAAACCAAATGACGTATTGGCAAAGAATGCTTACGAATTAGTTAAGGTGTGGTAAGATATGCATTTGTAAATTTTAATGGCTTAAAAATGCTTACGTAGATAATTCGATTGCCACTTATGTCAATCGCAAGTCTGTAAGTACAGCAACAGAATTTTATAGTCAATCACTATAACTAACAACTTTAAATCACTTGTATCACTATAGCTCGTAAGTACAGTAAAACAGAATTTTTTACAGTAAATCACTATAGAAATCACGTTCATTCCAATACAAAACTAACATAACCATATCTAAATCACTTGTATCACCACAATAGTCGGTAAGAATTTTTTACAGTAAATCACTATAGAAATCACATTCATTCCAATACAAAACTAACATAACCATATCTAAATCACTTGTATCACCACAATAGTCTGTAAGAATTTTTTACAGTAAATCACTATAGAAATCACGTTCATTCCAATAGAAAACAAACATAATCATATCTAAATCACTTGTACTACTGTAGCCTGTAAGTACAGTAAACCAGAATTTTTTACAATAAATCACTATAAAAATCACGTTCATTCCAATACAAAACTAACATAACCATATCTAAATCACTTGTATCACCACAATATAGTCTGTAAGAATTTTTTATAGTAAATTACTATAGAAATCACGTTCATTCCAATACAAAACTAATATAACCATATCTAAATTACTGTATCACTGTAGCTCGTAAGTACAGTAAACCAGAATTTTTTACAGTAAATCACTATAGAAATCACGTTCATTCTAATACCAAACTAACATAACCATATCTGAATCACTTGTAACACTGTAGCCCGTAAGTACAGTAAACCAGATTTTTTTTACAGTAAATCACTATAGAAATCACGTTCATTCCAATATAAAACTAATATAATCATATCTAAAACACTTGTATCACTATAGCTAGTAAGTACAGTAAACCAGAATTTTTTATAGTAAATCACTAACTTCACTATAGAAATCACGTTTATTCCAATACAAAAAACATAACCATATCTAAATCACTTGTATCACAATAGTCTGTAAAATTTTTTTACAGTAAATCACTATATAAGTCACGTTCATTCCAATACAAAACTAACATGACCAAATCTGAATTTGTATCACTATAGCGAGTAAGTACAGTAAACTAGAATTTTTTACATTTATTCCAATACAAAACTAACATAACCATATCTAAATCACTTGTATCACCACAATAGTTTGTAAGAATTTTTTTACAGTAAATCACTATAGAAATCACGTTCATTCCAATACAAAACTAACATAACTATATCTAAATCACTTGTACCACTATAGCGAGTAAGTACAGTAAAACAGAATTTTTTATAGTAAATCTCTATAGAAATCACGTTCATTCCAATACAAAAAACATAACCATATCTAAATCACTTGTATCACTATAGTGAGTAAGTACAGTAAAACAGAATTTTTTTACAGTAAATCACTGTAGAAATCACGTTCATTCCAATACAAAACTAATATAACCATATCTAAATTACTTGTATCACCACAATAGTCGGTATGAATTTTTACGTTTATTCCAATACAAAACTGACATAATCATATCTAAATCACTTGTACCACTATAGCGAGTAAGTACAGTAAAACAGAATTGTTACAGTAAATCGCTATAGAAATCACGTTCATTCCAATACAAAACTAGCATAACCATATCTAAATCACTTGTATCACCACAATAGTTAGTAAGTACAGTAAGCCATAATTTTTTACGGTAAATCACTATAGAAATCATGTTCATTTCAATACAAAACTAACAACTATGTCTAAATCACTTGTATTACTATAGCTCGTAAGTACAGTAAACCAGAATTTTTTACAGTAAATCACTATAGAAATCACGTTCATTCCAATACAAAACTAACATAACCATAT